GAAAGTTTAAATGATGGATGGATGGATGGATGGATGGATGGATGGATGGATGAAAAACCATGTTACATTTTCATAATATTAAATCAAAATCCTGTTGGCTAATCCTGTGGCTGTTTTAAACCCCCCCTACTATCTAACACACGTTAGCAAAATAATAAGCATGTGGGTTTAAAAAATAAGTCAGAAATTAAATGGATTCCATGTGAGAGGTGGTCGGTTCTTTTCTCAGCCTCCACACAGGTGGTGTTCTCCTTCGATGTGGGGAACGGTCCTCTGGAGGTCCGCGTGGAGTCCGGCGCCCCGTTAAACGATAACCGGTGGCACCGGGTCTGGGCCGAACGGAACGTGAAGGAGGCGTGGCTTAAGGTGGACGGGCTGCCGGCGGCCGCCCAGGAGGCCCCCCCCGACGGGCACTTCCACCTGCAGCTCAACAGCCAGCTCTTCATAGGTGAGGAACATCTGCTCTGGATCCAGCCGGGATCCGCCTTAAGAACGGTTCCTCTGAACAGGATCGTTTTGGCGTTTTTAATTTTGTGCTATATCCATGGTTGTCATGTCATTTCCTGTTTTATTTTGAAAAGTACCTCCCTTGTTTCAGGCCTCTTGCTCTCCCCTGTGTGTCACATGTCTGCTTGTCTTCCCTAATGTGTTTAAATAGTCCGTGTTTCCCTTTGTCTGGTGCCAGTTGGTTTCATCTTTCATCTTTGGTCCTTCGTCCTCGTCATACTGAGCAACGTCATAGCAATCCTTGTCTTCCTCCTCGATTCACATTTATGCCTCCTTTGGAGTGAGTTTATTTTTGATAGTCTGTCCACAGTATGGGATCTGGCTTTAAGAACGGTTCCTCTGAACAGGATTGTTTCTGCTTGGGGGAATTTTGGCGTTTTGAATTTTGTGCCGTCTCCATGGTTGTCATGTCATTTCCTGTTTTATTTTGAAAAGTACATCCCCTTGTTTCAGGCCTCTTGCACTCCCCTGTGTGTCACATATCTGTTTGTCTTCCCTGATCACCAGTTGTGTTCCCCTGGAGTTAAATTGTCCATGTTTTCCACTTGTCTGGTGCCAGTTGGTTTCATCTTTCGTCTTTGGTCCTTCGTCCTCATCATACTGAAAAAACTCATAGCAATCCTTGTCTTCCTCCTTGATTCACGTTTATGCCTCCTTTGGAGTGAGTTTATTTTTGATAGTTTGTCCACAGTCTTGTTTATGCCTCGTAAGAGAGATTTTGATTTCATACTTTGTAACTTGTTGTCATCCTCCGTTTAGAGTGAGTTTATTTTGATAGTTTGTCCACAGTTTTGTTCTGCCTCGTAAGAGCGATCATCATTTGTTACTTTGTTCATAGTTTTGTCTACCTTGTTTTGCACTTTGCTTTCACTCCTTGCGAGTGTGTTTTTGGTTCTATTAATACCTGCAAACCTGAGCCCTGCTGCCATGTTCTTTTTCCAGAGAGGAGGCACCTGCTCAGTCTTTTTCAGACTGTTCTGTCGTGACCTTTGACCCCAAACCTGCTAACTGAGGCCTGTACACTCAGAGATGTAGCTGCTCTCCTGAATATTTTCCACTTTTTGTGAATAATCTCTCTCTCTGTAGGATGAACAGACCTGAATGCTTCAGATAAACAGCACCTGGTGGTTACATATCTTCTTAATTCATATTGAACCTATCAGTCTTTTGTACACTTGTATACACATTCTAGCCACGGGTTGTTTTTCTCCTTACATACTACTTTAATTGAACTGTCTCCTGATTATAATAAAGGGGGTAAAGTGGAATATATATTACAACATACACACAACACAGCACACCATTACCAGGTCTGGTCTCCCACAACAAAGTGCTGAACTGTTTTTGGCATCATGCCGCCAGCTGCTCAGCACAAATGGATCGCAAACCGCTGAGCCGGCGCTTTTCTGACCACCGAACAATAATCACATTCGATGAATAGGCATGCGGCGGGGAGCTGTGATTACACACGGGCTGTGATGCGATTTTGTGCCGCGATTCTGGAGGCGGCCGTGTAATTAAACACCTACAAACTCCATCAATACCACGGCCTCGTTTGCCTGGACTACATCGCTTTGCTTCTGTTTGGGGACGCTCGTTCAAACGTCAGCGTTTCACCAAAGATGAGAGAAGAAAAGAAAATCCATCTTTGCTCATCAGGTCACATCATCCCGTCAATATTCTGTCATCGAACAGCTGGACAAACAAACCAATGAACTCGAGTCAAATCGGATGAGAAACGCGGGGAAGTCGGGATGAATATCGAGCGGACGAATGTCTTCCAGCAATTGGAAAGCGTTTTATTAACTAATTACTTGGGCGGAAAGTACAAAAGGAAAAGGCCCCGAATGTAGCCGTGGAGCAAATTCCCGAAGTTTAATGTGAGGGATGAGGACGTTACGCCGAGTGAGCGGAAAGCAACACGGGAATAATGAAGAGGCACAAACGATCCCGGCTTTGCCTGAACAAACCAATTTCTCGTTTAATTGCAAATTAAACATCTCATGAATATTCACACGCTGCCCGTCGCCGCTCTGTACAGTTTTTAATATGATGGAAAACCTCTGCAGACATCAGCACCAAACGTGCATAAAAATGTCTGGTGGAAATGAAAGGACAGAGAGTTCTCTTTTCCCACAGAAAAAGCCCAAATGAACATTACATTTCTCTCTGCGTTATTCTTCAGGGGAAATGTTCCTGCTTGTGTTCTACTCGTGCAAATTTGAGTCACATTTCTGCTTTAATAACATTTCATTAAGGCAATAAATAGGATACCGAATGCAGCCAATAGAAATAGAATTAGAATCTACGGCAGCCCCGAAGAATAAGAGACACTTTACATGGTAGGTTATAAATAATCACAGTTTTTATGAATAAAACTTGTTCTGAATTAGGGAGATGAGCCTTGGGTAGGTGTTGACCATCCATTAGCTAAGCACACATGTCAAAATGACAGCAATCAGCTCCATTATTGAACTTCTCCAGTCCTTAATGCTTCCTTTCTCTTAATGGATTCAATCTGACACCATCCATTTCAACTACCAGCTCTTTGGGAATCCTCAGAAATCCTGTTTTGCTTTTTAATAATTGGAACCAAACCATGTATGGTTGTGACAGTCTGCAAGTAAACAAAAAAATTTAAAGACTTACTCAGTGTTTTGAAGGAAAATGTAAAGAAATTAGGGAGGACTAAGATTTTGCACAGTGTTAATCTCTGTTGTACGACTTTTTCTACACATTTTCCCACATTTTTATATCAATTCAACCAGAGAAATTCCAGACCAATCAATCAACGAAGTCTGAAATACCTTCTTTTGTTCCTGGGAGTACAGGGAAACATGAGGTTAAGTGTGTGACTCCACTGGACCAGCGCCTTCGATCAAAGTAACAAAGCATCAACGCCAAAAGGAGGCTTTCAGAAAACAAACCCTCTCCAAAACGAGCCGCCATGTGACATGTAATCGGTTCCAGCCAAAATGGCAGCCTCCCCACATCAGATGCTGCCCCCAAAAACCACTTAAACAAGCATAATGAGGGATTTGGGATGTGAGGATCAAAGCAAACATCAAAGAATGGAAATGCAGATGAGCTGCACCTCTGACCAGATTCATCCACAGAAACTTCAACATCATTTCAGCCATCAGAAATCAACCCGCTCTCAGAACCTCTTAGTTTCTCCACGTGAGCCCGAAAGCTACGCAGAGACTTAATGAGACCCCACCTCCTCAAAGAAAAACTCAATAAGCGAAATGGAGATCAAAGCGATCATCAAGGTGATTCAGGTGGAAGCTTAAAGATGGAGAAGAGAGACTCGGCTTAAAGGAATACAGATAAAACAGCAGAGGGCGGTCAGGCCCGATCAAAGAGATGAAGAAGAGTGGGAACGTGCACTTTGTGAACATTTGGGCTGGGTTCCACCATCATTCTGGGCTCTAAGTTTAAACACAACAAAATGGAAACCAAATTATATGAGTCGCTGTTGTCTAAAACGCCTTCGGATGGTCAAACGAGGGTTTTGTGTCAGCTCTGACTTTTGATGATGGAAAACTAGCAAAAAAAAGAGTTAGCAAAATGCTGGGGTGCATCCTAGATGGGTCACTATTCAACCACAGAGAAAAAAAGCTAAGATAATGTACTCTTAGACTTTCTTTGGATTCACCAGGTAACCCAAACTGTGTGTCTCTGTTTGGTCCACACAGAAATGGACTGGTCTTTATCTTAAATTGTGCAATATATGAATTGAATTGAAAGCCTTTATTGTCATTGTACACAGTACAATGAGATTTGGAAAGCAGCTCCGTAAAGTGGACACATAAATAACACATACATACATATACAATACATTAGTACAACTGGAGTACTAGATGTTGATTTAGTAAGGTGACAGCTTTGGGGAAGAAGCTATCCCTGAGTCTGTTTGTTTTGGTCCGTATTGACCTGAAGCGCCTGCCTGAGGGCAACAGGTTGAAGAAATGGAAGCCGGGGTGGGTGGTGTCCCTCAGGATGTTTCTGGCCCTGCTGAGACAACGGGAGTTGTAGATGGCAGTCAAAGAGGGCAGAGGGCAGCCGATAATTTTTTCTGCAGTGTTTGTCACTCTCTGCAGTCGTTTCCTATCAGCCTCCGTGCAGCTGGAGTGCCACACTGTCACAGCATAGGTCAGCAGGCTCTCGATGGTGGAGCGGTAGAAGGTCACCAGCAGCTGAGGTTTTAGTTGTTCCTTCCTGAGCACCCTCAGGAAGTGTAGCCGCTGCTGGGCCTTCATGACCAGAGCTGTGGTGTTACCTGACCAGGAGAGGTCTGCAGAGATGTGGATGCCAAGGAATTTGAAGGACTCCACTCGTTCTACACATCCACCGTTGATGTACAGGGGGGCAGGGGCGGCTTTCTTCCGTCTGAAGTCCAGGATGAGTTCCTTAGTCTTGTTGATGTTTAGTGCCAGGTTGTTTGATGCACACCACTCGCCAAGTTTCAGGACCTCATCTCTGTAGGCCGCCTCGTTTTCCCCTGTAATCAGCCCCACCACCGTTGTGTCATCAGCGAACTTGATGATGATGTTCTCTGGGTGGGCGGGACTGCAGTCGGATGTGTAGAGGGAGTAGAGTAATGGGCTCAGCACGCAGCCCTGTGGAGAGCCAGTGCTGAGAGTGCGGGAAGAAGAGAGGTGAGGACCCAGTTTCACCTGCTGGGGTCGGTTGACCAAAAAGTTCTTTATCCAGGAGCAGGTGGGTGGTGGGACCCCCAGGTCGGTTAGCTTAGGGATCAGAATGTCCGGTATTATTGTGTTAAAAGCTGAGCTAAAGTCAATGAAAAGCATCCTGACGTAGCTCTCCCGTTGCTCCAGGTGACTCAGCGCTGAGTGGAGAGCGATGGCTATGGCGTCTTCGGTGGATCTGTTAGTCCGGTATGCAAACTGGTGCTGATCCAGGGTGGGGGGGAGACAGGCTTTTATGTGTCTCAAAACCAGTTTCTCTAGGCATTTGGTGATGACTGGAGTGAGTGCAATGGGGCGGAAGTCATTGAGGCTGGTCGTGGGTGACTTTTTAGGGATCGGGATGATTATAGCAGACTTCAAGCAGGGTGGGATGACAGCTTGTTGCAGAGATATGTTGAATATGTCTGTGAAGACCTGTGATAACTGCCAAGCACATGCCTTGAGCACCTTCCCAGGTACTCCATCTGGACCTGCAGCCTTCCTGGGGTTCACTGCACAGAGCACCCGCCACACGTCCTGTGCCTTAAGAGTAAGTGGGGGGGAGGAGGTGTGCTGGGGGGCTGGTTGAAGTTGTGGTGGTTGTTGGAGTGATGAGGTTGGATGCTGTGTGTGAGACTCAAAGCGGGCAAAGAAGCTGTTCAGCTCCTCTGCCAGTCCCGCATCCAAGTTCCCGGGTGTCACAGCACAGCCTTTGTAGTTGGTGATGGTCTGTATGCCCCGCCACACTTGCCTTGGATTGTTTAGATGTTCCTCTATCCTCCTCTTATATTCACCTTTGGCAGTCCTAATGCCTCTCTTCAGGTTGGCACGAGCAGCGCTGTACAATGCTCTGTCGCCTGACCTGAAGGCTGAGTCACGGGCCCGGAGGAGCATACGGACCTGGCGCGTCATCCAGGGTTTCTGGTTTGGGAACACCCAGATCCTCTTTTCAACAGTGACATTCCCAATACAGTACTTGATGTAGGACAGTACTGCATCTGTGAATATTTCCAGGTCTTCGTGATAGAAGGCTTCCCACTGTGTATTTTCGAAGCAGTCCTGTAGTCGGGGGAGGGCGTCCTCAGGCCAGGTGGTGACTGTCTTCTTTGTGGGCTTTGTTTGTCGACTGAGAGGGGTGTATGCTGGAGTTAGGAGCAGGGAGAGGTGGTCTGACTGGCCCAGGTGGGGAAGGGGTACAGCTCTGTACGCATGCTTGATGTTGGAATACACATGATCCAGAGTGTTTTCCCCTCTTGTAGGGCATTTAGCAGTAGAGAGAGAGCCATGTTTACATTAGCGTCTGGTGGTATGTAGACTGCAGTGATGACAACAGCAGCTAGCTCTCTAGGCAGAAAGAAGGGTCTGCATCTCACCGACATAAATTCCAGATCAGGAGAACAGTGTCTGTCCAAGACAGTGCTGTTGTTACACCAGCCATCATGCACATAGATGCAGAGCCCGCCTCCTCTGTTCTTCCCGGAGTCACTGTTCCTGTCCCATCTGTGTAGTGTGTGGTCTACTAGTTGCACCGTGGCATCGGGGACTTGTGTGTGTAGCCATGTCTCTGTGATGATAAGCACACAGCAATCGCGAACATAACGGTTACCAGCCAACTGTAATTCCAAATCGTCCGTTTTGTGTACAATGGATCTGGCGTTTGTAAGGTAGAGGCTCGGCAACGGAGGTTTGAGTGGCTGTTTTCTTAGTTTTAGCAGTAAACCAGCCCTGCAACCTCGTTTTTGTTTCCTCTCGCATCTCCGTCTGCGTCGCCTGACAGACCCGTTAACAATCCACGGGGATCCCGTTGGTCTCGCTATTTCGTCCGGAATGTTGTGAGTTCGGTGAAAGTCGCCGGAGATGGTCATCTTCAATTTGAAACCGATGTCCAGTAAATCCAGACGGCTGTATTGTTTCATAATGTGTGTAAACGAACAAACAATATACGATAAACACAAAAGATAAACATTAAAAAAGCACTAATACGGAGAGCTGTGAGCCGCTGCGTCTATGCGCGCCGCCATGGCAACTGACTTTTAATTATATAAATATGTACCGGCCATGTGATCATGGATGCAAAGAAAATTTAAAAAAACGTGAAAACAGTTGCTTTTTTTATTTCTCTATAAGACCATCTGTTTTTTAGGTGTGAGTGATGGTGGAAAGGTTCGTTAATCCCGTGTATTTTGTCCAGAAATTACCCCAAACCGACAAGAGTAAACTGTATTCAGCAAACACTCTACATGTCCAATTACTCCAACAACACCAACTCATAAAGCTTATAAGCCTCCAGAAAGAAGTGATTAATGGATCCAGAACTGAGCTTTAAGTACTGTGAATTTTAGCACCTACAGTGGAAACAACCCTGTGTGGATTATACCGTAAATCCGTTGCAGGCAATAACACGGCTGATTAATCAAAACAATGGACATCACAGCCTTCTAAAGCAAGGCGGGATTATTCTGTAGAAATACAGCGCGCATCACAACAACACAGCAGCATAAAAATTCAAACAAAAGGAAGTGTTTGTTTAACAAATCAACTCTTGTTAATGGGATTCCTGCAGTGAAATCCTTAAAATCCTTTTAAAATACTGTCTGTGACCCTCTAAACAGTGCAAACCAATCCTGCCGATCAATGAAAAGAGATTAAAGGTATCTGCTGACCTTTTCGAGGCTTAAATGTCTTTCAACCTTTCTGGAAAAACAGAAACGTTGGAGCCAAAGTGGGACATTTTAGGCCAAAATGTGTCTGTCTAGAAGCAGCTTCTGGAAAAAAGAGATAAAAAAGTCTTTATTCTTGTAACAATCTTGAGATCCTGGATTCTCTGAAAGTTTGTTTTCCACTTTCAACCATGACTCAGCTCCAAATGGCTCAAGAAAAGCTTTAAATTAAGTCTAAATCTGTCATCGTTAACCTTTTAATTGGAAAGTACAGTCATTTTACAGATCTAAATAACCCTGAAAGGGTTCATGCTTGAATATATTTCCCAGAAGCTCTTGAGGACCCCCCTCGAACTGTTTCTTCACCAAGGGGAACGGTGTCCCCCTGGTGAAGGAACCCGGATTTTGAGCAAAGTTTTTACCATTAAATGATGCAAAAGGAGTCAGACGCAAAACATTTAAAAAACCCTACGTATCAAATATGACACATTTTGCATTACAGGGTTAAAGAAGCCGAACTGTTTCTTTCAGGGCGGAGAACCACAGACAAATAAACTGATTTTTCTGCTATTTTTTTTTACATAGGAGGAACTTACAGGCTCGGGATTTTTCCATTTCAGCCCAGGCGGACATGAGAACATGGTGTGTTCAGCTGGAGTTTTTCCTTTGTCTTCCAGGGGGCACGGCGTCCCGGCAGAAGGGTTTCCGGGGCTGCATCCGCTCCCTGCAGCTGAACGGCGCCCCGCTGGACCTGGAGCAGCGGGCCCGGGTCACGCCGGGGGTGCGGGCGGGCTGCCCCGGCCACTGCAGCAGCTACGGGGGGCTGTGCCGGCACCAGGCGCGCTGCCTGGAGAGGGCCAGCGGCTTCCACTGCGACTGCAGCCACACGCCCTACGCCGGGGCCTTCTGCAGCACAGGTACGCACCTAAGTTTGGTATAAAAAATGAATAAATAAAGCAACGTTTTGGGTAATCAAGGGGGGGCTTCTCACTAACAAAGCCTCCCTTTGCAAAGCAATTTTGTTCAGCATAAGACGGTACTCGGGCGACACGGTGGTGTGGTGGTTAGCACTGTCACCTCCCAGCAAGAGGGTTCTGGGTTTGAATCCCGAGGGAACCAGGACCCTTCTGGGTGGAGTCTGCATGTTCTCCTGTGTCTGTGGGTTCTCTCCGGGTTCTCCGGCTTCCTCACACAGTCCAAAAACCTGCATGTTAGGTTGATTGGAGATTGGGGAAATTGCCCTTAGGAGTGAATGTGAGTGTGAGTGCTTGTTGGTCCTTGTGTGTCTCTGTGTGGCCCTGCGATGGACTGGCGGAGTGTCCAGGGTGTACCCTGCCTCTCGCCCGTTGACCACTGGGATAGACTCCAGTTCCCCCCGCGACCCCATCAGGGAATAAGCGGTATTGATAATGGATGGATGGATAAGACGGTACTCAAATTTCAGTTCTGCTGCCTTAATGCTGAACAGGACAAGGTAAAAAGGAAAAAAAAAGAATGTTTAGTCTTTTTTGGAAATTGAAACCCTTTCCAAAGTGTGACTCCTCAGAGCTCCTCTCCATGCCGAGCTTTAGTTTCGCAGCTTCCATTCTTCTCCACCTGATCTAATATCTGTCTGTAGTTCTGCTGCTATGAGCACGTTTCAGGCTAGTCTTCAGTCGCGGCTTCCACTGCGACTGCAGCCAAACGCCCTACGCCGGGGCCTTCTGCAGCACAGGTACGCCAGCGGGAAAACGCTCTGTAGAGGTCCGCAAAGTCTGACGGAAGACTAGCCTGAAACGTGCACATAGCAGCAGAACTACAGACAGAAATCAGATCAGATGGAGAAGAATGGAAGCTGTGAAACTAAAGCTCAGCATGGAGAGCCGCTAAACGTTAAGATATCCGCGGATTAGTCTTAGACTTCTCCTTCATCTCCCCGATAGAGAAGTCTTGTTACTAAACCTCAGTTTTAATGACATAGAATATGATTTTATTCAATCACTTTACAGTTAGAGCTCTGAGGAGTCACACTTTGGAAAGGCTTTCAATTTCCCCCAAAATTCCGGGGCCTTCTGCAGCACAGGTACGCATGTAAGTTTGGTATAAAAAATGAATAAATAGGGCCGCAGCCGTAGACTAATGGCTAGAGCGGGTGGCCCATATGCAGAGCCTCCGCTCGCGAGCGGGCGGCCTGGGTTCGAATCCAGCCCATGGCCCTTTCCCGCAGGTCTCCCCCTCTCTATCTCTGCCCCCTTTCCTGTCAAGCTACTGTCATTAAAGGCCACTAGAGCCCAAAAAATCTTTTAAAAAAATGAATAAATAAAGCAAAGTTTTGGGTAATCAAGGGGGGCCTCTAACTAACAAAGCCTCCCTTTGCAAAGCAATTTTGTTCAGCATAGCACGGTACTCAGATTTCAGTTCTGCTGCCTTAATGCTGAACAGGGGAAGAATGTTTAGTCTTTTGGGGAAATTGAAACCCTTTCCAAACTGTGACTCCTCAGAGCTTCTCTCCATGCTGAGCTTTAGTTTCGCAGCGTCCATTCTTCTCCACCTGATCTAATATCTGTCTGTAGTTCTGCTGCTATGAGCACGTTTCAGGATAGTCTTCTTCTGCAGCACAGGTACGCCAGCAGAAAAACGCTCCGTAGAGGTCCACGAAGTCTGACGGAAGACTCACCTGAAACGTGCACATAGCAGCAGAACTACAGACTGTCACGTCTGGTGTGTTGTCATGTCTTGATTACCTATTGTGTACACCTGGGGTTCCCCTCCCTCATGTGTTTAAATAGTCCTCGTTTCCCCTTGTCTTGTGCGAGTGCGTTTTCGTCTCTTGTCCGTTCCGTCTTTTGTCACCCCCACGCCAGGTTTGCTTTTTGTCATAGTCACAGTTTTTGCCACAGCTTTGCCTCAGTCTTGTTAATCTTTATTTTGTTACTTTGTCATAGTTTTGCCTCAGTCTTGTTATTCTTTATTTTGTTACTTTGCCTTTTGCTCACAGTTTTCCACAGTCTTGATTTGTACTTTGTCTGGACATTCACTCTTCAAGAGTGTTTTTTGTTGCAATAAACCTTGTCTTCCCCTCATCTCCGCACCTGAGTCCTCCCTCAAGAACCCACCTACATGACACAGACAGAAATCAGATCAGATGGAGAATCCGGTCGGTACTTTTTGTGTGACTTTGTCAAAAAGCTGCCTCTTGTTTTGGGATGACTGAATAAAAAAAAAACATCCCGGGTGTTTGGAACGAGAACATAACGAGCGTTATATAAGTCTGACCCGGGGCTTGAGGAGAAACGCTGATTAAAGAGCGCCTTCAGAGGAGCTCTGGCCCATTTCCAGCACTGGGATTCGTCCCTGTGGAATAATGGAGGCGCCACACGGGACGGACCACAACATCTCCGAGGGATTTCATGACTTTTTCCTGCTTCTTTGAAGTGCTCCTACTAAGTCAGTGACTAACCTGCAGAAGAAAGCAGTCAGAACAATATTTGTTTGAAGGATCAGAGGCTTTAAAGATGAACGAGCTGAAAGTGGGAATTCAAAGATAAGGCTGTTGTTGGGACTGAATAGAAATTAAAAGGTCTGGTTGATATAACTCATCTCTGGACTTGTATTTTTTCTCTGTTTTTTGGCACCTCAACCTTTGATTTGTCTCCAGAGGTGTCGGCCAGCTTCAAGCCGGGAACCTCGGTCCGCTACACCTTCCCAGATCCCGTTGAGCCGGGCGGAAACGGCAGCGCCCCGCCCTCCTCCGTCCCCCCCGACGGGTCCCTGAGGGGGGAGAACGTGTCCCTGAGCTTCAGGACCAGCCAGAGTCCGGCCCTGCTGCTCTACGCCAGCTCCCACCACGGACAGTACCTCGCCCTGCTCATCAACAAGCACGGTGAGCAGCAGGCCAGAGTCAGTTTGGTGTCACTCACAACTTTTAGCTGCATTTCCCTCTTCCTAGATCATCCCAGGGTGCTCATTCCCACCTCTTGGTGCTTCCTTTTGTTTAAGATAAAAGAGAAAAACACTGAAATAGTGCTAACCTGTTGCCAGATTAGCTGAATATATTGAATAACTGTTAAATCATGTCCTAATT